TTTTACCGATTTGGAGCTCGGATAGAGGCGATTTTAGGGAGATTTTTAGAGAAAATAACGGGGTAAGTGTTCTTAACTCAATATTAGTTAAATTACCCGAATCCATGGTTGTTTTTAACATTTAATGTGTAAATTTAGTTGGAAATTTTAGAAAACCCTCTTGGTTTAATTTGAAAATTTGAAGGTCAAGTTGATGTCGGAATTGGGTAAAATTGGTATGGGTTGACTCGTGGTTGAATAGACTTTCGAATTTTATAACTTTTGTCGGATTGCGAGATGTGGGCCCCACAGGCGATTTTTGAGTTAAATTTCGGATTTTATTGAAAAATTTATATTTTCATATGAAATTAATTCCAATAATTTTTATTGACTGAATCAGATTATTTGTGGCTAGATTCAAGGCGTTTGGAGGCCGATTCGCGAGGCAAAGGCATTGCACAGTAAGAAATGACACAGTTTGAGATAAGTAACATCTCTAATCTTGGAGCTGAGGGTATGAACCCTGATTATACGTATTATGTGAATTGTTTGGAGGTGACGCACATGCTAGGTGACGGGTGTGTGGGCGTGCACAGTAGAAATTATGACGTAATTGGTTCCGTAGAAATGTGTAGTCAAATAATCTTGGCATTATCCATGTAGTTTTATGTGTTAAAGAAATTGAGCTGAGAATCATGTTAAAAATCATGCTGAGGCTATATACCCGTATTATTGAGACCCACAGAGGTTATATTGATGTTGAATTATTTGTTTAAATTGAAATTTCATACTCAGTCCTATTCCTTCATTTNTATATATATAGAGGGATGGATCTTCCCTGGGCATAGATCATGCCATAGATATATATATTGAGGGATGGATCTTCCTTGGGCATGGATCTTAACCGAAGCATTTATATTGAGGGATGAATTTTTCTTGGACATGAATCTTGTCCGAATCATTGATATTCGGGGATGGATCTTTTCCTGGGCTGGATTGACCTTATACAGTACTGAGTGACTGATTGTCAGTTGATGGATATACATATATATATTTGGGATGGATTTTTCCTGGGCTGGATTGGCCATATAGAGTACTGATTCATTGAGTATTTTAGATTGTGAGTACATAGAGTTTTCACTAAGGTACATCACATACAGTATGTACATTAGCATGTAGATACAGAGATGCCATATTCCTCGTATTGTTCAGATTAATTTTTTGTGTTTGTACTAAAATTATGCTTACATTTTCTGTATTGCTATTATTTATACTGGACTGTACCTGCGTAGCTCGTCACTACTTTTAACCTAGAGGTTAGTCTTGTTACTTATTGAGTTGGTTGTACTCATACTACACTCTACACCTCGTGTGCAGATCCAGGCAGCTACCATGATAGTCTCCAACTGATAGCACTCTAAGATCTAATAGTCGTCATGTTAGGTCAATCGGATGTTGACCTATGTGTAAACAATCTCGGATTTGAATTCTGATTGTTCTGTTAGCTTCGTTAGGTGATTTTGGACTTAGGAGTACGTCTGAAATGTGATTTGGAGGTCCGTGGTAGAATTTGATATCGGGATCGTAATAGAATTCCGGAAGTTGGAGTAGGTTCGTAGTGTCATTTATGATGTGTGTACAAAATTTGAGGTCATTCGGACGTGGTTTGGTTGGTTTCAGCATCGGTTGCCGAATTTAGAAATTTAGAAGTTCTTAGGCTTGAATCTGAGGGTAATTTGGTGTTTGGATGTTGGTTTGAGTGATTCGAAGGTTCGACTAAGTTTGTATCTTGATATATGACTTTTTGGTATTTTTGGTTGAGGTCCCGAGGGCCTTGGGGTGATTCCGGGTGGTTAACGGATTTGTCGAAGTTGGAATTTGCAGTTGGAACTGCTGCTTCTGCTATTTTCGCACCTGCGGAAGGAAGAGTCGCAGGTGCAAGGCCACTGGTGCACGTGGGGAGTGCGCAGGTGCGGAAAACGCTGGGCTAGACAGGTTGCGCAGGTACGAGTTGGAGGTCGCATCTGCGAACCTGCAGGTGCGAAACCTGAGGCGCAGATGCGGAAAGGGGAATGTTAGGCAAGCTTCGCAGGTGCGACGAATTTTGCCGCAGATGCGGGGTCTCAAAAGGTATATAGGAACACTTCGCGAATTTTGGTGCATTCTTCACCATTTCTATTAGGTTCTTGGAGGTTTTGGGAGAGATTTGAAGAGGGAATCAAGGGGGTTTCGTTGAGGTAAGTTACTTGAGCCTAATACTTGTATATATGGTGATTTTCTCATTGTTTAATCATTGTAATTAGTGAAAATGAGGGGTTAGGGCTTGAAATATTTGGAGAGTGATTTAAGGATTTGAAGGACCAAACGATGTCGGATTTTTGATGAATTTGGTATGGTTAGACTCGTGAGTGAATGAGCTTTCTAGTTTTGTGAATTTTGTCGAATTTCGAGACGTGGTCCCGGGGGCCGAGGTTGAGCCTATTTTGGTTTTTGGTCTAATTTTATAGCTTTTCTTGTATAAAGTTTCGTAGTTGTCACGACCCAAAAAACCTAATCTGTCATAATGGAGCCTATCGTGGAACTAGTCAAGCCGACTCATTTCCAAAGAAACTGATATTTTCATTTCAAAGATAATTTCAATACTATTTAACATAAAACCTTCATTTAAGGTGTTCACATCAAAGAAAAATAGAAGTGCGGAAAAGAAAAGTCCGACATCAGGGTGTCACTAGTTATGAACATCTACTACAATCAGTCTAACAATATCAAGGCTAACTCAACCTGAAAAATAGCTAAATACAACTAGAGGAAGATAAGAGGGAGAAGAGCAGGGGTTGCGATCGCCAAACAGCTACCTTACTATCTCCAAGAAAATCTGCAACAAGAACACTCAATAACGGCTACCGTATCCAGCTGCACCTGAATCTGCACACAAAGTGCAGGGAGTAACATGAGTACACCAACTCAGTAAGTAACAACCATAAATAAAGACTGAGCAGTAGTGACGAGCAATAAAACATATAACGTTCATATCATGAAATCTCAGTAAAATACCTCGTGCTTTTTAAAATCAGGATTTGAAATAAAATATCTCGTTTAAACCTAGTTCCGATATAAATAATCCTTTAAGGTTATTTTTCAACAGATTTCAAACAGAGGAAAAATGCAAAGGTGAGAAAAATAATGAAATCATAAACAACCTCTCAGGCAAAACATCACTCATATATAGCCCCTCGGGTAAACCTCACAGTCACTCGTGCCACTCGGGCATACCTCACAATCACTCTTGCTACTCTGGCATACCTCACAATCACTCATGCCTCCCAGTTACTTAGCACTCGGCACTCGCACTCAATAGGTACCTGTGCTCACTGTGGCTGTGTACAGACTCCGGAGGGGCTCCTTCAGCCCAAGCACTATAATCTGCACGGACAACTCATGTGTTGCACGGACAACTCACGTGCTAAAATAATAAAGTATGCTGCAGGCGGGCAACCCCGATCCACACTCATCCCCACAATTAGGCCCTCGACCGATATCAACATGCTGCGACGTGCAGCCCGATCCCATAAATATCCTCACAAATCAGGCCCTCGGCCTCACTCAGTCATAAACCTCTCAAGCCACTCGGGTATTTCAGTAAAATAGGGCATTCGGCCCAAAATATTTATATGCATCAAAATAGAGTCATAAAACTGAGTTATGCGGTAAACAAGTATAAACATGACTGAGTATAAATTTTCAATCGAAAACAATGATATGATAGTTGTACTCATACTACACTCTGTACCTCATGTGCAGATCCAGACACTTTCGAACACGACGATTGTTAGATCTTAGAGTGCTATTAGTTGGAGACTATCATGGTAGCTGCCTGGAGTCCGCTGACCTTGTCTCTCTTTCCTTCAGTTATTGTACTGTTCTATACTTTAAAAAAATATTTTATCAGTCAGACTTGGTATTCATATTAGATGCCCATGTACTCAGTAACACCGGATTTTGGGAGTGTTTATATTTGTATTTGATATTAACAGGATTTACTCCGTCCATAATTGTGCTTCTTACCGTATATGCAATAAAGATTTTTTTCTATGATAGTGATGACTGATTATTACCAATTAACGTTGTGCAAATTGCCTTAGCTGCTCGGTTGTTCCTAGCAGGAACCATAACGCTGGAGCACTGTGGTTTTTGTAGCATGTTGTTCTCTTTTTGAGCAACAAATCAATGGGACCATGTTGACTAAAGTACTACAACAACAATAACCTAGTGTTTCAGTAAGTGGGGTATGGAGAGGGTAAGATGTACTGAACTCAAATAATATGGATAACACCAAAGATAATGTCAAAGGACTGGCTGATTATCTCTGAATGTATGGAACTTCGGTTTTTGAGAGTATCTCACTTGTGCTGATTGGAGATGAGTGTTTATCTTTCCATTTAAATTTGCAAGGTAGTGCATGAGTAAAATATCTTAAAGTTCATTTTATTTTTTTGGTTTAACATTCGATTTTATGCTTTATGATTTAATATTCGTTTATTTTTTTAATAAAAAAATTTGCGATTTTTGAAATTTCAATATACTAATAATTGAGATTTTCTTAGATTTCTGTTTGACATAAACATCGTTAAACGCTAAAAATGTATGTTAAAAACATATGCCGTCCAATAAGGTAAAAGAACCCTGGTATGTATAAGAATTTATATTTTGCCTTTCAACATCCTAAAATAATACTAGTACCGTAACATTTGGAGTGTAACAATTTCCCATCTAACTATAAAATTTGAAATAGTTTTTATTTTGGTAAGTTATCCGCTAAAGATCTTTTAATGCAGTGCCTAAAAGAATAATTAAAATTCAACATCACATCCACCTAAAATTATATAGGACATAAAGTAGATTGATTATGGTGGATCCATATTTTTGACTTTACACAATAAAACTCTCTTCTCATTGAAGTAATTAGTAGTACTTCCTATCTAACCTAATTGATCTTTGATTTCTCTAGCAGAAAAAGGTAAATGGTTGTCACATGTGAAAATAGCTATGACAGGACAAGTGAATTAATAGCTTTTGATGGTACAAAAGCTGGTGTTAAAGGGCTAGTTGATGCAGGAGTTACAAGAGTCCCAAGAATTTTCTATACATCAGAAGATGCATATACTGAGTCATATAATGATCCTGAAAAATCTGAAATCAATATTCCTATTATAGACTTAGATGGCATCAGTAAAGATCCAATCAAACGTAGCGCGATAGTTGAAAAAATCCGTGATGCATCTGAAGTGTGGGGTTTTTTGAAAGTACGGGGGGTTGAATTGTAACTAATTAACAAAATATGGTCGACTTAGAAGAGACTTAGTCAACTTCTTTTTATCAGCAGGTTTGATTGATGATAAAAAAAAATTGCAAGGAATTTAAAAACTGAGAACACAGAAGTTTTATACTGGTTCAGTACCGATGTGGTACCTACATCCAGTTCCCTTGGGTCACAATGGTTCTCTTAGATATTCAATAATTGGTTATAGTAGTAGTGTATGGATCGTTTACCACTAAATATTTTAATCTTTTATAAGCTTGACACAACTCTTGTTTTGCTTCCTAACACTTCCTATCTTTTGATACACTAGTAAACTTAGGAATACAGTATTTGTGCTAAGAACTAGGAAGATATAGAAAATAGTGGTGAGTTGCGCAGTTGAATTCTTTAGTCTTCCAATATTCTTATACAAGAGTTTTGAGTAGGCATTGCAGATTGACTATAACGACCCGATCGATCGTTTTGAAAGTTATAGCCCCGAGCTCCTATTTACTTCTTTCTTCGTATCTGTTTCAGCTTATGTGACTTGTCGGGAGGTTTTGTTTTTGTTTTGGGGGTATTTTGGGATACTTAGTCCCTAAACAAAAGTTTAAATCTTAAAATTTTGTCCGTAGTCGGAACTGTGTGAAGACGACTCCGGAATAGAGTTTCGTCAGTCCCGTTAGCTCTGTTGGGTGATTTTGGACTTAGGGGCATGTCCAGATTGTGTTTTGGAGGTCTGTAGCTCATTTAGGCTTGAAATGACGAAAGTCGATTTTTTTGAGATTTTGACCGGTAGTGGACTTTTTAATATCGGGGTTGGATTCGGATTCCGGAAGTTGGAGTAGATCCATAATGTCAATTATAATTTTCTTGCAAAATTTGGGGTCAATCGGATGTGATTTGATAGGTTTCGGCATCGGTTGTAGAAGTTTGAAGTTTCAAAGTTCATTAAGTTGATTCGTATTTTTTTGCGTTGTTTGATGTGATTTGAGGGCTCGACTAAGTTCGTATGATGTTTTAGGACTTGTTGGTACGTTTGGTTGAGGTTCCGGGGGCCTCGGGTGAATTTTTGGTGTCTTCAGTTACTAGTTTCCTCTTATGCAGTCGCGTAGGACGAGACGCGATCGCGAAGCCTTGAATTAGGCAGTCACCTTTTTGTTCTATGCGATCGCAGTAGCTCGTCCGCGATCGCGAAATTTGCGTGGCCATTGATACGCAAACGCATAGCCCTTTCCACCTTCGCGGTGAAGAAGAGTGGACCTGGGCAGTGGGAGGATTTACTCTATGCAGTGCAGTGGTACACGTTAGCAAATAGATATCCGCGTTCGTGCTGAGTATTTTTAAACGGTTGGAATTTTGTTCATCGCGATCGCATGAGATGTTCCGCGATTGTATAGTGTGAGCACGTGGGCAGAATATAACATTTCAAAATTGAGGGTTTAGCCATCTTTAACATAACTTGAGATAGAGAGCTCGGATTTTGACGAAAGTTTGAGGGATTTTCAGAGGCATCGATTGGGTAATGATTCTTCACTTGTTTTTGGTTATATCCCACTAGTCTATCATTAATTCCATCCTTTAATTTTGGATTTGGGTTGAGAAAATTGGAAACAAATGGGAAAAGTTCTTCAACCAAAGTTTTGGGTTTTGATTGACATTTTTACATCGGATCTTAGTAATTTTGGTATGAGTGAACTCGTGAGTGAATGAGTGTTTGTAATTTGTGACTTTTACCCGATTTCGAGACGTGGACCCGAGGAGACTTTTTGGGAAGATTTTCTAATTTTTCGCTTTAGCTCTGATTTCATTAACTAGATTAGTTTCTTATAGTTATATTTATGATATGTAATTAATTTTGGCTAGATTTGGGCCATTTGGAGTCAGATATTCGTGAAAAAAGCATTGTTACGGATTTAATTTGAGCTTGGTTCGAGGTAAGTGGATTGTCTAACCTTGTGTGTGGGGAGAGGGGGGGATGGTGGGGGGAAATCCCCTTGGGACTTGGCACTGTTGTGATATGTGAGCACCGTGTACGTGAGGAGACAAGTGCGTACACGGGCTACTATTGTAAAAATCGATTTTTCACTGAGTAGTGACCGTTTTCATTTTAATTTAGTTATGCTAGCATGTGTAGTTATCCTGTTTACTCTAATATCACATGTCTACATGCTTTAACTGCTTATTTGAACTCTATGCAACATGCCTAGTTGATTTCCTATTTTTTCTTGATCTTTATCAGTCTTAACTGTAGAATTCTTGTTGTTAACTATTGTATTTATCGGTTTGAACTGTGTGTTTACTTTTGAGACTACGAGGCGGTTCCTGGGAGTTCTACCTGCACATTTACTTTTGAGACTATGAGGCGATTCCTCGGGAGTTCTCCCTGCATATTTACTTTTGAGACTACGAGGTGGTTCCTCGGGAGTTCTCCCTGTATATTTACTTTTGAGACTACGAGGCGGTTCCTCGGGAGTTCTCCCTGCATATTTACATTTGAGACTACGAGGCGGTACCTCGGTAGTTCTCCATGTATATTTACTTTTTGGACTACGAGACGATACCTCGGGAGCGCCCCTATTGTTATATCATTGTGCGGTGTTGTTATTGCTTTGTGAATACTTGTTGTTGTCTTCTCTGTTTTACTTCATGTTTATTATAACACCTGTCTTATCATTATATACTAGTAGGGCTCGGACCTGACCTCGCCACTACTCTACCGAGGTTAGGCTTGGCACTTACTAGGTACCGTTGTGGTGTATTAATGCTACTCTTCTGCACATATTTTGTGTGTAGATCCAGGTACTTCTTATCAGCCCCGCTACTAGCTGAGAGTGTTTGCTGTTATACGGAGACTTCAAGGTATATCTGCCACATCCGCAGGCCTCGGAGTCCCCTTCTATTCTCTTCTATGTCATCTACTTTCCGTATTTCTTTTAGTAGACTCTGGTGTATAGAGATTCTAGTTTCCTTCTGTAGCTTGTGACTTATGATTTTCCGGTTTTTGGGAATACCGTGTATTACTAGAGTGTTGGTTATTGTATATGCCGAACGGTATTGTTATCAGTTATCTATTGTAGTTAGTTGTTAAGTTTTCCTTCCATTTGTTTATTTTCGCATTTTTGTTAGGCTTACTTAGACGTAGAGATTAGGTGTCGTCACGACATCTTACGAAGGGAGAATTAGGTCGTCACAAGTTGGTATCAGAGCTCTAGGTCCATAGGTGTCATGAGTCACAAGCCGATTTGTTAGAGTCTCGCGGATCGGTACGGAGATGTCTGTACTTATCTTCGGGAGGCTATGGAATTGTTAGCAAAAATTATACTTCTTGATTCCTTGTCGTGCGAAGTTTGTTGACATAAAAAATTCTAAACTTCTGTATTCTATTCTTTCTCACAGATGGTGAGGACCCGTACTGGAGGATCTGATGACCAGACACCTGCGCCCCTTGCTTGAGCCGCGAGAGGCCGAGGCTGGGGTAGAGGCCGATGACGTCCACGCGGTGCAGCCAGAGCACCTGCACGAGCTGCTACAAAGGTGCCCCCAGTAGCTCCAACTGGAGGGCAGGCATCTGAGGTACCTGTTGCTGCACCAGCCCTCCAGGAGACCCTAGCCCAGTTTCTGAGCATGTTCAGCACCTTAGCTCAAGGCCGGATTGATTCCACTTGATCCTACAACATCTCAGGCCGGGGGAGGAGCAAAGACTCCCGTCGTCGATACTCCAGAGCAGCGGGTTCAGGGCGACCAGGTTCCAGAGATTATACCGATGCAACTGGTAGCTTCGATTCAGCACGAGACTAGGACAGCTGCTTCTGAGGCGGAACAGCTCAGACTTGAGAGGTACAAGAAGTACCACCCACCCACCTTAAGCGGATTGGCTACAGATAATGCTCAGGGTTTTCTGGAGGAGTGTCATCGTGTTCTTCGTACTATGGGCGTAGCGGAGACGAGTGGGGTTTCTTTCACCACCTTCCAGCTTAGAGGAGTAGCCTATCAGTGGTGGCGTGCTTATGAGTTGAGTAGTCGAGATGAGACAGCTTCACTTACATGGACTCAGTTCTCGGACATGTTTATGAGAGAGTATTTCCCTCAAAGCCTCAGGGACTCATGGCGCGCAGAGTTTGAGTAGCTGCGCCAGGGTGCTATAACTGTGTCAGAGTATGCAGTCCGCTTCAGTGATTTGGCCCGACATGCACCGGCCTTGGTTGCCATGGTTCGAGAGAGGGTTCAACGGTTTATTGAGGGACTCCACCCCAGTATCCGGATTAGTATGGCCAGGGAGTTGGAGATGGATATTTTTTATCAGTAGGTTGTGAGTATTACCAGGAGATTGGAGGGCATGCTTGCCCGGGATTGAGAGGAGAGAGAGGCCAAGAGGTCTCGAGAGACTGGTTCTTATTCTGGTGCTCGTGCCCCAGCAACTCGCCATGGTAGGGGTTATGTGAGTCACCCCATTCATTTAGCACTTCCAGCCGCCAGTGGTATTCCGATCCCTTCTAGGCCCAGGAGCCTTATTATGCACCGCCAGAATCTAATGCACCTCCTGCAGGGGGTGCTTTTAGCGGTCAGTCTAGCTGACCTGGACCGAGCCAGTCACATCAGCCACGCTCTCCGAGGGCTTATTTTGAGTGTGGCGACACAAGCCATATGGTGAGGGATTGCCCCAGATTTAGGAGAGGTGCACCTCTACAGACTTCTCAGGCACAGCGTACTCCACAGGGTCCTCAGGCTATGATTCCAGCACCAGCTACTGCCCCACCTGCTCAACCAGCTTAAGGTGGAGGTCGGGGAGGCCGAGGTCGCCCTAAAGTGGGAGGTCAGGCCAGATATTATGCTCTTTTGGCTTGTACAGAGGCAGTTGCTTCCGACTCTGTCATTACAGGTATTGTTCCGGTCTGTCATAGAGATGTGATGGTATTATTTGACTCAGGTTCTACATATTCCTATGTGTCCTCTTATTTTGCCTCGTATTTGGGCGTATCTCGGGATTCTTTGAGTTCCTCTGTTTATACATCTTCTCCTGTGGGAGATTCTCTTGTTGTGGACCACGTGTATCGGTCATGTTTGATTGTTCTTAGTGGTTTTGAGACCAGAGCTGATTTATTATTACTGAGCATGGTAGACTTTGATGTTATCTTGGGCATGGACTGGTTGTCGCTCCATTATGCTATTCTTGATTGTCATGCTAAAACCGTGACGCTGGCTATGCCAGGATTACTGTGATTAGAGTGGAGAGGTACCTTAGAATATACTCCCAGTAGAGTTATTTCATTTCTTAAAGCTCAACGAATGGTTGCGAAGGGGTGTGACATGTATCTAGCTTATGTAAGAGATTTCAGTATTGATGCCCCTACAGTTGAGTCAGTTCTAGTAGTGAGGGACTTTCCAGATGTGTTTCTAGCTGATCTTCCAGGCATGCCGCCCGACAGAGATATTGATTTTGGCATTAATTTGTTGCCGGGCACACAACCTATCTCTATTCCTCCATATCGCATGGCTTCTCCTGAGTTGAAGGAGCAGTTAAAGGAGTTGCTTGATAAGGGCTTCATTCAGCCCAGTGTGTCACCTTGGGGTGCTCCCGTCTTATTTGTGAAGAAGAAGGACGGTTCTATGTGAATATGTATTGGTTACCGCCAGTTGAACAAAGTTACAGTGAAGAACAAGTATCCATTGCCTCGTATTGATAATTTATTTGATCAGCTACAGGGTGCCAGAGTGTTTTCCAAGATTAACATACATTTCGGCTATCATCAGTTAAAGATTCGGGAGCCAGATATCCCAAAGACCACTTTCAGGACTCGGTATGGTCACTACGAGTTCCTTGTGATGTCTTTTGGGCTGACCAATGCCCCAACAACATTTATGCACATGATGTACAGTATGTTATGATCTTATCTTGACTCTTTCGTCATTGTGTTTATTGACAACATTCTGGTGTACTCCCGAACTTGAGAGGATCATGAGCATCACCGGAGGACTATGCTTTAGACTTCGAGAGAAAAGAAGTTATATGAGAAATTTTCAAAGTGTGAGTTTTGGCTAGACTCAGTGACATTCTTGGGTCATGTAGTATCGAGTGATGGGATCCAAGTGGATCCGAAGAAGGTGGAAGTGGTGCAGAGTTGGCCTAGACCGTCATCAGCCATGGAGATCCGGAGTTTTCTTGGTTTGGTAGGGTATTACCTCATTTTGTAGAGGTATTCTCGTCTATTGCAGCACTTATGACCAGGCTGACCCATAAGGGTGCTCCGTTTAGATGGATAGATGAGTGTGAGGAGAGCTTTCAGAAGCTCAAGATAGCTTTGACTATAGTCCTAGTATTGGTATTGCCTTCAGG